AGAGGTAGGCGGATCTCTGTGAGTTCAAGGCCAGCCTGGTCTACATAGTGAGTTCCAGGACAGCTGGGCTACAGGAAGACCCTGCTTCAAAAAGACAAAAAAATTTTTTATTTATTATTTTTATTTTATGTGTATTTGTGTATTGCCTGCATGTAGGTAAGTGCACCCGTGTCATGCAATGCCCGTGGAGAAGAGAGGAGGCTGTTGGACCCCCTGGAACTGGAGTTATAGACAGTTGTTAGCTGCCATGTGGGTGCTGGGATTCGAACCCAGGTCTTTTGCAAGAACAGCCAGTGTTCTTAACCGCTGAGCCATCTCTCCAGCCCTGTCAATAGTTTTGAGCTAAATTAGTCACAATTACCTAGACATTTTTCAACCAGCTCAGGACCCTACTAGTTGGCCTCAGTTATAGAAATTGTGATCAAGATATACAGTTTGGGGCTGATGAGATGACTCAGCACATAAAGGTACTTGCCGCCAAGCCTGATGACTTGAGTTCAATCTCCTGAACTCCACAGGAGAGAACCATCTCCCACACATGTGACATGCTGTGTGCCCACATACATACAGTCCCCTCAAATAATATAAAAAATTTGATATATTGCTTTTCTCTATGTTAAGTATATGGGTTAGTTTATATTTAACAGCCTTTTAGCACAATCTAGTCCTACAATAGGTTTCACATATTAAAAATCTTTAATTATAAAAATTTCAGTAATTAAGAAAATACTGAATATATAACAACTAATCAATGTAAAAAATAAGAATATAGCCGGGCATGGTGGCGCACGCCTTTAATCCCAGCACTTGGGAGGCAGAGACAGGCAGATCTCTGTGAGTTCAAGGCCAGCCTGGTCTACATAGTGAGTTCCAAGACAGCTGGGGCTACAGGGAGACCCTGTCTCAAAAAGACAAAAAAGCCCAAAAAACAAAAAACAGTATCCATTCAAGACATGCTTATTGAATATCTATGCTTAGCCAAGCACTATAATAAACATTTAAGTATTTCTTCATCTAAGGATAATGATAAATGCTTATTGAGATTTTTACCCCATGCCAGATAATGTCATGAGTGTTTCATTTCAACTGTTATCTGTCTCAGGATGATACTGAAACATCAGGACATAGAGAGCTTGGCCACGTTCATACACTCACTTACGGCACTAGGATTCTAATCCATCTTACTCCAGAGTCCACTCTATCAGGTTCTCTGGGAGATGCAAAAGCACTAGAAAATATGCTTTCCTAACCACAAAGAATTCACAAATTGTTGAAAATAACACTTGACCCTAGACAGTCAAATGCTTTTATAGCAGACTATGAGTAACACACCAAAGAAGTAGGAGCAACTAGAGAGATAGCAGTTAAGAGTGTGTACTGCTTTTACAGAGGACTATAATTTGAATCCCTACACCCACGTTGGGTAGCTCATAATTGCCTATTAACACCAGCTTCACAGTCTCTGACACCTTCTTCTGGTGCCTCTATGGACACCCACATGCACTTGCACATACACATATACATAAATAATACTTTTAAAAATAATTTAAATTTTTTTATGTGTATGAGTGTATTGCCTGCATGAATGTAAGCACACCTGTGTCATGCAGTACCCACGGAGGTCAGAAGAGGGCATTGGATCCTCTGGAACTAGAGTTACGGATGGCTGTCAGCAGTCATATGGGTACTGGGAATTGAACCTGGGTCCTCTGCAAGAATAGCCAGTGCTCTTAACCACTGAGCCGTCTCTCCAGCATCATAAAATAACTCTTTAAAAAAAGAAATGAGGCCAGGTGTGGTGGTGCATGCCTTTAATCGCAGCACTTGGGAGGCAAAGGCAGGCAGATCTCAGTGAGTTCAAGGTCAGCCAGGTCTACACAGTGAATTCTAGGCCAAATGGGGCTACAGGGACACCCTGCCTGTCTCAGAAAGACACCCCCCCCAAAAAAGGTATTAAAAACGTAATAGCCAGAGGATAAATCTTGGATCAGATCTGTGATTTTTTTAAAAAAATATGGCTAACAGGAGCTGGGGAGATGGTTCAGATGATAAAGCATTTGCTTGTGTAAACATGAAGACCTGACCTGAGTTCAAACCCCTAGTACCCATGTAAAAGCTGTAAAAGCTGGGTGCTATGGTGTGCCTCCTAGTGCTTGGGAGGTGAGATAGGAGGATCCCTGAGGCTTGCCAGCCAGCCAATCTAGCAAAACTGATGAGCTCCAGGTTCAGTGAGAGACCCTGCCTCAAAAAATAGAGTAGAGAACAATTGAAGAAGGCGTCTAATGTTGACTTTTTGGCCTCCATACACTACACCACACACACTGACACACACTCTCCCCCCTCTACCCCTGCAGAAAAGGTTAACTTAAAGTCTTGCTTACTGCCGGGTGTGGTGGCACACACCTTTAATCCCAGCACTCGGGAGGCACAGGCAGGTGGATCTCTGTGAGTTAAAGGCCAGTTTGGTCTACATAGTGAGTTCCAGGACAGCTGGGGCTACAGGGAGACCCTGTCTCAAAAAAAAAAAAAAAAAGTATTGTTTACTTCAGCCTTATTGGAATACAGGGATTATGTTATAAGCATCAAAAACATGAAGTTAATTCACATAGAGTCATAGCAGTCAGATCTGCTATCACTAACACTTATTCTGAATAGCAGGTACAACTGTAAAACTTTTTACATGAATTATCTCACTTTATCCTTCCTCATGGAACATGAATGAGACCTTTTTGCCATATAGATTTTAAGAGGAAAACTAAGCTTTGGATTAAATAACTCCAAAGCCATGAACCTAGCAAGCCATAGGATTGGAAACTTACTTCAAACTCAATTCTTTAAAAAAATTTTTTTTAAATCTTATATGTATGAGTGTTTTGCCCCTACATATGTAAGTGCACTACATGTGTGCAGAGACCAGAAGAAGGGGTCAGATCTCCTGGATCTAGAGTTACAAACAGTTGTTAGTCATGATGTGGGTGCTGGGAACCCAAACCCAGGTCCTCTGAAGAGCAGCCAGTGCTCTTAAGTGCTGAGCCATATATCCAGTCCCCAAATGCAATACTTAATCTACCATTCTATGGTTCAAAAATAGTTAAGCATGAGCATACAGGGATGGAAACAGTGTTTTTGTAAGGTTAGCCTTTTAAAAAGACTGCAAGAAAAAGCTGTGGATATGGTTCAGTGATAAAGTGCTTGTCAAGCATGTGAGGCCCTGAGTTCCCAGCACTGTGGAGGGAAACAAACCCCCAAGACAGAGAGTAATATGGTACCATAGTAAGTGTTTGGATAATTCAGGTGTGAGTGGGGAAAACCTGGTGCCAAAATGATAGTAACAGGAAGATAGGAAATGGTATATATTTTTAAAATTAAAACAATTTATTATTTTTATGTGTATTGTCTGCATGTGAGTGCACTCTTGTCGTGCAGTGCCCGTGGAAGTCAGAAGAGGGCGTCAGAGTCCCCTGAAACTGGAGTTACACAGTTGTTAGTTGCCATGTGGATGTTAGGAATTGAACCTGGGTCCTCTTCAAGAGCAGCCTGTGCACTTAACTGCTGAGCCATCTCTATAGCCCCCAGGAAATTATATACTTTTTAACTTGTACATACCTTGCACTTTGTAAATTCATAAACTTAATAAGATACACTTCTGTAAAATCTTCTGCTGGGTATTCGTCTAGAGCATTATATTCTTCAATTGCACCATACAGAGCAAATCGCTCAACTAATTCCTTCATGGCTCCCACCGCAGGAACTCCTTGAATTAATAAATATCGAGATTCCAAATTGATTGTATAAACCTAAAAGATAATAGACTCATTGAATGTAGTTAACAAATAAGACTATGACAAATCCGCCCTTATTATTATTATTATTATTTTTTGTTTTTTGTTTGGTCTTCTTGAGATGGGGTCTCCCCGTAGCCCCAGCTGTCCTGGAACTCACTATGTAGACCAGGCTGGCCTTGAACTCACAGAGATCCGCCTGCCTCTGCCTCCCAAGTGCTGGGACTACAGGCGTGCGCTACCACGCCCGGCTGCCCTTATGTTTTAATAAATGAAACTTGGAAAACAAGAAATACTCTGCTCATCCGGGTCTGCAAAACATACACACAAAAGTATCACTCTTTCTGCATAAATACTCCACGAGAGATTATTCAACTAAAGCATACAACAGACTTTTTTCCCCCCAAAAAGTTGTTACCGGAGAAGTTAATTGGAAATAAGTCACTGACGACTCACGGAGTGCTTGTCCTGTAACAAGCACATTTGAAAACACGGAAGATACAAGGCCTAAACAAAATCGTGTTCTCGTGGAGTGACGTTCCAGTATTAACCAAAAGGGTGGTGATGATAACCTTTGGTATCTGAGCCTGGGTGCCTCATACCACCTCCACTAAGGAATGATTCTGACAGCACCACCGTCTTGCCTTTATGTAGTCTAGACTGGCATGGGGAGCTAGCGCTCACAGGAAGTTGGCGAGGGGAGCGAATGAAACCGAAATCACTCTAATCACTCTACCTTGACCGCACGAGGACGCCGGCCCTCCCGGTATTTGGCCCGAGAGTCGCACACAGCGGTCTGGACATGGTGGTCGAACACACTCCCTGGCTTCCCATCGCTCGACGCCATGTTGCCGGCAGTGTTCCTTGCAGCCAGGACAACATCCGCCGACCAGCTCCCGTGTGCCCAATAAGAGAGCAGAATGGGTCCAGCGTGCTACGATTGGCTGGAGAATCGACCGCATCGATATTGCTGAGCGCGAGTCTTGAATGAGTGCAGTGCCGCCTCCTAGCGGCTTGGAGGAGAATTGGCTGGTCGCTCTCGCAGCGGAGGCGCGGGGAGACGCTAGGGAGAAGGGGCGGAGCCGATCGATGTTCTCGGGCTCCGACGTCCTGGCCTGTCGCGGACCCGGTTGGACTCTTGCTTCCCGTTGGGCGGCGGGAGTGGGGATTTGGGGGAGACAATGTGGGGCGGCGATCGTGTGGTGGGTGCGGGGTCAGGCGAGGCAGTCGTGACGGTGGCCTTCACGAATGCTCGGGACTGCTTCCTCCATCTGCCGCGACGCCTGGTGGCCCAGCTGCACCTGCTGCAGGTAACGCGCGGGCCGGGACCCTGAGCCGCAGGTGTGGTTCAGTTGTCGCCGGCACCTTTCTGGCTGCTCTCGAACCCTGCCGAATAGAGCCGAGAGAGACGGACCCTCAAGATGGGGTGGGGGGCGGCGTGTGTATCACACGTCACGGGTAGTGCATCCCCAGTTGTCTTATTCCAGGGCTCCTAACTCGGTTACACTAGGCTTTGAGATCTGCTCGGGTTCCACCTCAGCACTCAGGAACAAACCTCACTCTAGCTTGGAAGGGACCTTCCCACCTGGTGTATTTATTATAGAAATTGTCCTGCCAGTGCTTTGCAAGTGCCGGCATTGCCTCGGGGGGTGGGGGTGGGGGGGGCAGACTTGGTTTGTACAGCCCTAGATGACCGAGGCGACCCTCGAATGCCAAAGGTTAATAAGATGACTGATGGCTTTTCCCTGCTTTGCGAGACCTTGAACAAGCTGCGGTGTGCGGGGAAGGTGCGGTGCCGTTATTCACGCCTGCATGAGGGTAGCTAGGGTACTTCGACTTGTGCGAGCTGTCACCCTTCTGGACGTTGTCATTGTGATGCTCCACGGTTATAACCACCAGTAGAAATACAACACCATATTTTCCTAATTAAAAATAGGTGCAGATAGGTTCCCGAGTTTCAGTGTTTGTGGGGATGGAAGGCTAGAATATTTGAAATCTTCTAAAATTCTCTATGCGTGATTCCAGACCCCTGGCTTCTCATAAAGAGATAACCAGGAGTTTGAAATGATTTACTTAATTTTAATTTTTAAAAATTTATTATTTTTTATTTTATGTGTATGCGTGCATTGCCTGCATGTAGATGAGTGCACCCGAGTCGTGCAATGCCCACGGAGGACAGAAGAGGCTATCGGATTCCCAGGAACTGGAGTTATGGACAGTTGTTAGCTGCCATGTGGGTGCTGGGATTCGAACCCGGGTCTTCTGCAAGAACAGCCAGTGTTCTTAACCGCTGAGACATCTCTCCAGCCCCTATTTACCTAATTTTTAAAATTCATGTTTCAAAACACCGAATCCATTAGAGTCATTAATTTTTCACCACTTAATGGTCTTTTGGCCCTGACAAGCTTTCTTCATGGCTGGAAGGAATCAGTCACTGTCACCAAGTTCCAGGTTGACCTAATGCTCTCAGCCTTACAGAGAATTTCAGTGTACTTTCACATCCAAAGAGTCGCTCAGTTTATAGAAATAAGCTTACCACTTAATGAGTTTAGAAAAATGCTTCCTCACAGTAACTAAAAAATTGACCCTGGGATGTGGTGGCTAACTTCATCACTGTTTAAGACTTTTGGTGGCCTTGGCCAAACATGGTAGCACACGCCTTTAATCCCAGTACTGGCAGAGGCAGGCAGGTCTCTGAATTCCAAGCCATTCTGGTCTACATAGTGAGACCCTGACTTGAAAGAAAAAAAAAAAGAAAAAGGAATTTGGTCATTTTGGTCTTTTTAAATTTTTGAGACTTCAAGAAGTATTTGGTAGAATTAGTTCAAAGGTATCTATAAATGTTTTTAGCACTGGAATAAAATGCTGTTTCTTCTAAGCCTGTGTAGCAAAACAGGCCAATTCCCTTCTCCTGATTATCAAAAGAATACTGTGTTTTATGGGAAAGCTATTAAAAGAACATAAAAGCTGGGGTTGGAGAGATGGCTCAGCGGTTAAGAACACTGTTCTTGCAGAAGACCTGGGTTTGAATCCCAGTACCCACATGGCAGCTAAAAACTGCCCATAACTCCAGTTCCAGGGGATCTGACAGCTTCTTCTGTCCTCCATGGGCATTGCACGACATGGGTGCACTTACCTACATGCAGGCAATACACACATACACATAAATTAAAAAAAAAAAAAGAAAGAAAGAAAAGCTGTCTGTAATCCTAATACCTAGAAATAACTAATATTAACTGTTTGGATTAAGCCTTCCAAACTTATTCCTAATCTTAACAGTTTTGTGTCTTGTTCTTTTCATGTATCTTTGACTTTTATTTTGTCGAGAGGTCATTTTTAGCAGTTAATTAGTATGCAAGCATAAACTTGCCATAATTTATGTAATTGTTCACTGTGGCTATTTATTTAAATATTTATTATTTTTATTTTATATGTACACGTGTATTGCCTGCATGTAGGTAAGTGCACCAGTGTCATGAGATGAGTGCCCTTGGAGGACAGAAGAGGCTGTCAGATCCCCTGAATCCATGGCAGTTGTTAGCTGCCATGTGGGTGCTGGGATTCAAACCCAGGTCTTCTGCAAGAACAGTGCTCTTAACCGCTGAGCCATCTCTCCAGCCCCCGCTGTGATTATTTAAATGTACTGAACTAAGACTATAGTTTCAGGGATCATTTCTATAATTTATTAAAACGTACTGAACTTTCAGGCATTTAAAGTGATAATTATATTTTAATAAAACAGTAAAATATCTCATTTTTGTTTATGAACCGTTGTTTTTCATTTCTGATTATTTAGGATTCCAAAATTATTGGGTTTGAGGGCATAAATAGATACTAAGGAGAAAGGTTCATGAGTTGGGAGTTAGTGGGTTGATTTATTCCATTTAAGCTAAAGCATTGCGTGTATAATACAGATAATGCAGTAATGGGAAGAAAGGTTGCAACTGTGGCTTTTTAGCCATTATCAGATTTACCTGAAGTTTTTCAAAATCCTCAAACCAACCAGAATCTAAGACAGAATCTCAGTGTGTAGCCCTAGTGTGGCCTAATCTCAGTATGGCCTGGAACTCCTTATGTAAACCAGGCTGGTCTTGAACTCAGAGATCCACCTGCTGGGATTAAAGGCATGTGCTGTTAGATTTAGGAATGCAGAAAAAGGAAGGAGTTTAAAGTTAAGAAATAAGAACCACAGCCAGACCTACAACATGTAGGGAATGTGTTCCTTTATTCAAAGAATACAGCAAAAGTCCGGAAAAACCTTTCTGAGGAATGAGGGCATCTGCATTGAAGGGAGGGGCCGTTTGGATTTATATAGGAACTCTGTTGAACATAGCTTTAAGAGTTAACTCTTTGCTAGGGTCTAGTGTCCTTGAGGGTTTTTTCTCCCAAGATTATTTTCTCAGGCAGGTGAGCTATCTTAGGCACTAAAGGAGACAAGCTGGGTCCTTAAACAGTCTCCCTCAGTCTAGGAGCGATCAGTTGATAAGGCTTGAGCGAGGCCATCCTGCTTGTTTAGGGCCAATTAGCCACTTTAAGGGATTTCTGGTTCCATTGTTTTTCTAATTAGGCTCATGGCTCATCACACATTCTGTCATGTGCCACACCATCACCATATCTGGCCTTTATAAAAATAGTAAATTCCAATTAATTTTGCCTGATCACAATGCCGATTAAATAATTTAAAGTACATATAATGTTTATAACGAGAACTTTTTTTTTTTTGGAGACAGGGTCTCACAACATCTGTAATTTTAAAAACTTTAGACTACCTGAGTTGAGAACCCCTGTCATAGTATCATAAAATGCTAATAAATGAAAGGACCGTAAATATCCTATCATTTCCCTACTTTCAGACACAAAGAACCTGGCAGTCCTAGGCCAATTCCATTTTCATGCAGCTTGTTTGCCCTCTTGTCTGTAGCTCACTATGGGTCTCACAACATCTGTAATTTTAAAAACTTTAGACTACCTGAGTTGAGAACCCCTGTCATAGTATCATAAAATGCTAATAAATGAAAGGACCGTAAATATCCTATCATTTCCCTACTTTCAGACACAAAGAACCTGGCAGTCCTAGGCCAATTCCATTTTCATGCAGCTTGTTTGCCCTCTTGTCTGTAGCTCACTATGGGTCATCTAAACTAGCCTTGGCACTTCTTTTTTTTATTTTTTATTTTATGCTTTGAAGAATTATTTTTTTAATTTTTTAAAAAATTTAATAACCACATGATTAGAAGCATTTCATTACAGCTTTAACATATTCAGTAACACACTCCAGAGCA